AGTCCTCTAGAGTCCGTTCAAGTCTATTCAAGTCCATCAAAGTCCCCTCAAGTCCGATAAAGTCTCCTCAAGTCCGTCGGACTTTTCAAAGTCCGTTCAAGTCTAAAGTCCGCAGTTTCCCCCTTGATTGTTCTACAACTGTACATATTTAGAAAATAGTTTAATTATACTAGTATCATGAAACACTTAGGATTCATATACTGTATTTCAAGCGAAAATGAAACTTGCAAATGCATTCTCTTCTGGTACCGTGGCCCGAACAGAAAGCTGTAAAGTCACGGCAGTCGAAAGAAGTACGTTTGAGATTCATCTGCACCCATACTAGAAAAACAGCTTCATGATGCCGAATATATTTTCTTCACTTAGAATTGATTAGTAATACACAATATACGTTGCGCAAGTGATTATTATAGTCTTAAACCTAATGTTGTAAAGATCCAAAAACAACCACTAGACAATTATAAGACAATAGCGTAATAAGTTGTGTAGGTCAAATTTTTTTAGTCCGTATTCAAATATTTTATCATCGTTACCAAAAGCATTAACAGCAATTGTAATATCGGACGAAACATTCTTATTACATGATATACTAGAAAATAATACAGTTTCAGGCAGAGACGCGCGAGTCAGTTGCTTTTCAGGGCGTAGGCCGGATCTATGAGGGTCGTAAGCTTTATTGCAATATATAATTTTGTAGCTCAAACAAATCTGAATCGAACGTTACTAAAAGTAGGTCAAAACGTTTTAGCGGGAAAAACTTTTGTATGATCCTTCAAGCGACACGTCCATCTCTGGTTTTAAGTTTTGTGTCTTTTAGTGGAATTCGATATCTTTAAAAAATTAATTTAAATCTTCTTTTTCTCGCTACTAATTTAAGTAACTGTATTGCTGGCGAATACGAATACTGGAATACGGATGGTATATACTGTATATTACCTGTAACATTATTTTATCAGTCTAAAGTATACATACAAATTTAGTGTGAAGCTATTATTTTGCTGTATTATCAGGTAAATGTGGAAAGTCTGATGAGACACACGCTGCTTTGATCACTAGTTATGTATCTTGATATTAATGTACGTAAATGTTTTTCCTAATACAAAGACGTAGATTTGAATTACATGCTTATAAGCCGAACATGATGTTTATAATCTTCTGCCTCCATGCAAAAACTTCTGTCCTTTATTAGTACATATTTGAAATAATAAATACTTTACCTTATTGTACTGTGATTGATTTCCACTGTTCATCGTTCGCTAACTTCAGACGAATATGTGACAAGAGTATTAGTGATTATTTAATAGTATTTATTACATTGACAAATTAAATAAATTAGTTTGAATTGTTTCAAAAAATCACGAAGAAAATTGAATATCGACCGTTGAATTGAACCCATGGGGGAAATAGCAGAATTCCAAACAGCTGTGTACTCCCACACCTATAGAAGTCCGGAGAATCCCATACAAATTTCCCAGAGTTCAAGAAACTGGAGGAATCCTTGGAAGTACAAGAAAAAATCGGAAAACGGGATTAGAATCCGATGAAATTCCCAAAATCTGTAAAAATGACTGATAATGGGGCTAAGCGGAAAGAACGCGGGAAAATTCAAAAACAGTCAGGAAAATTCTTCGGGATCAGCAAAGTCACGAAGGATACCAAGCAATCTCCAGGAGTACAACAAAATTTGCAAAAAAACTGATCGCCTGTGGAACGGAGCCCAGATTACAAAAGTCACAAAATCTGCTGTTTCCCGCTTGATTAAACTCCTGCCCGTAATAGAGGACCATCTCATAATAGTGAACCACTTCCTATTCGAAGACCACTGTTGATTATATGACTTGAAAGCCGAATCGAAGACCATCTTCTCCTACCGTTGAGCTACTAGCAGGCGACAAAAGCTGACCATAACAGAAGACCACCCTCAAAGTTTAGAGTGGGCGGACAAAATAAAAAATCATCTGGTCTTCTACTACGGGTTCTACTATCAACTTTTAGAAAACTATCGCAACATTCAAATACTTGCTGAACTTTGACATTCACTCTGCGTCACATACATATATATATATATATATATATATATATTATTGATGTTTGGTTCTTTTATTCAAAATCTGCACCTATTTTAATGACAATACCGAACAGTGCCAACTTTTTGTAAAAATTATAATTTCGTTTTCTTCGATCAGAAATGATGAAAGGAAACCAAAACGTGATTAAATAAAAAGTTTTTGGTGCTCTGTTTCGATATGTTAACCGAAAAGGAAAAGGAAAAAAAAGAAAGTCGAATATAAGAATAAACAGAGCAAAAACATATTTTCAATAAAAAGTTTAAACATAAGAAAAAAATCATGAGTTCGTGTCTATTTACATAGTCATTCTATGACTGATGATTTGTTGTCTTGATTTCGTACATTATTTTGTCATGCCATCGAAAATAAGGACAACTTCACCTTCAAAAATTATCTGTTGAACATCATCTTTTTGTTAAATTGAAACTATATGGTAACATATTTTACTCACTTTGATTGTTAATGTTCATTTAAAAGAATTTTTAAAAAAGCTAACGGTGTTTGACTACCAAATATGTATCTGACAATCTTCAGCCAATATATATATATATATATATATATATATATGTATACCATACTGTATTGTCGGTATATATGTAGTAGTATATTTTAATATAATAATGTATACTTTTTTATTCCTCTTGTGTTAATATTGTGACTCTCTTTTTAAGAAATATACAGTAATCGATGTGGTAAATTATTCCATTTGAACCATAGGGAGGATATCGGTATACAATATGTACTGATGATGTAATAAACAAGCAACAATAATAATCAATTAATATTCAATAAACTTTTAGTAAATTTATTAGCATTTGCTTCGTTGCAGCTATACAGTGCAAGTATAAATTATTGATACTAAGCAGTTTTTTTTATCCAACGTAATTCTTTCATTCTACTTAAATATTTTATTTTTAGATTGGAAGTGTCACGTGATGCATTTTAACATAACCTTCGTTGTACTATTTTTTTTAACCGGAACGTGTGTACAAGAATTGTCCAAGGAAACTCTATATTCATTTTCTTCAGAAAAACAAGGTACAAAAGAATTTTCTATTATCGCACAGTTAAAGCTATTGCGCTAATTCTTGTAGTTTTAGCTGCTATAGAGAAAATAACTACTGAACATAACGAATTACACAGGATGCGGCGACAGTTAGGTATCTATACAACCGCTGATACATCGCATGAAGATACAACTGAAGTTTCGACGATGGGTACACTTTCAACAATCATTGCATCAAGTATAACTGATCCAATTAGTCGTACACATCATTCACTTGATAGTACGTCACCAGATTTTCGGAGCGGTACTTCCCCTATGCATCAGTCAACAAATACTGCACACAGTATTCAGTCGTCCGACCTAAGTACGAGTGGTATGTATAGACCATATTTCTGACATTTATTTGGACTTCAATACGAATATATTTTATCTGACGCACAGATGTATAAATCTAAGTACCCTCCTCAAAATAAGAACCTCTCATCCATTCATTGCTATCATTTGGACGTCGCATCAGAGTTTCTGGATGACTTTCAGCTGGCATTGGATCACATGTAGGAACTCTAAATTTGAGTGAAAACCAAGTTGTTCAGAAGAAGAGTATTATGTCAGTCGTCACTGACATTCCTTCCTTTTTGTGCTTTTGCTATTCATTTATCATGACCAGAAAAAATGTTGACTCAGTTCTTCTTGAGTCAGCATTCTTTCTTCATCGATATATAGTATTTGTCCGTAAACATCCGGGGCCATTTTTTTGTTTTGCCTGCGTGTGATTTTATTCTTCCGAATAAAATCGGTGCAGTCTTATGTTGGTGCACTAACCGGTGTATTTCCATCTTATTGTGGCATTAATCATGGAGCATGTTGATGCAATATTATTGCAGACTAGCATATAGAAAACTAGCCCGTCTGTATTCATTTCATTGTGGTACTGGAAATGTGGCATTAGAAAACTAATTGGCGTGTTACTTTCTTCCAACACACACACATTGGAACCCCCGTAAATACCAATTGCTTAACACGACCATGTGGCAAGCTTTTTGATACAATCAATGTTGGTCAGGGTGTTGGAGCACTGGCCGCGATTTTCTAGCCTACCTCAGAAACAGTTGATCGATGGCTATCGGACATCAGCGAACTCTTTGACCTGGTGAAACTCGACTTCAGACGTGCAATCCAGCTGCTCCCATATTATTTGACAGGAGAATAAAAAAACTGGTGGCGCATGTTAACAGCGTATTATCAGTTTATGAACCCTTGGTTTAGTTCCCTATTTGTTTTCTTTTTTTTGATGCTGTTTTTTTCCGCTTTGTTTGTCACCGCTTCTTTTATTGAGCCAGGAGGCTCATCTTGTGTCCATGTGGGGAATATACTAGCCTGCACAAATTTTATTCGAAAGAATAAAATCACACGCAGGTAAAACAAAAAAATGGCCCTGGATGTTTACGGACAAATACTATATATCGATGAAGAAAGAATGCTGACTCAAGAAGAACTGAGTCAACATTTTTTCTGGTCATGATAAATGAATAACAAAAGTACAAAAAGGAAGGAATGTCAGTGACGACTGACATAACAAAGGGGTCAGGCGAAACTGCCTGCCCGTTATCAATCATTGTTCGTGATTGATTCCAAACACCATCAAGGGTCTTTCCTTTATCTCTTCGATAGTGATTCTCCTACTACTTTGTCTCGTATTTTATCCACTGAGTGTAATGTATGTGACACAAAACAGTTTTGTCTATGCACTGTAATAGATAATGTTAAACTTCTTCAACAAAAATGCATGACTAGGCCACTGACCTTGTTTCCTTCAGTTACCTAGATTTACTTCTATGTGGTATAGCCAATGTGATTTTATTTTTAGCAACGACAAACATCGCTCCTTCAACTACGAGATTCCAAAACACAACGATATCTTTCAGTACAGCAAGTAGAATTGCTACTAGTATGAATATACACCCAACAACTACGCAGTCCTTTTTTACTACAACTGTGAATCTCACCGGACAGATTTCAAATCAGCCATCAAGTTTGATTAATTCAAGTAAGTTCGTCCTACTGACATATGTATTTTGAAAATACGGTTCAAATGGCTCATTTTCCGAAAGAATAAATTAAACTCAAATTTTCTCTTTGCTCAGTACTCTATTTTGTTTCAGCATCAACTATTACAACATCAACCACTACTCTTATGCCATCAACTATTACACCATCAACCACTACCCTTATGCCATCAACATCAACTATTACAACATCAACCACTACTCTTATGCCATCAACTATTACAACATCAACCACTACTCTTATGCCATCAACTATTACACCATCAACCACTACTCTTATGCCATCAACCACTACCCTTATGCCATCAACATCAACCACTACTCTTATGCCATCAACATCAACTATTACAACATCAACCACTACTCTTATGCCATCAACTATTACAACATCAACCACTACTCTTATGCCATCAACCACTACCCTTATGCCATCAACATCAACCACTACTCTTATGCCATCAACATCACTAAATGGTAAGTTACCTTGAGAATCTATTCCTTTTCTAAAATCTGTGTGGATGGTATAAACATAAAGTGAAGAAAAATTGAAGAATTGAAGCGAAGAATGTTAGAAAGAAGCATTGCATAGAGAAGCTAGTCTCAGACTATTAGTCTGAGACTAGTAATCTGATGTCTGCAAATTAGTATCATATCAGATGAAAAAAATCATTTCCCAGCAGTCGTTGATTTACTTAATATTAAAAAAAATTTTTGTTATGATACAGTCTTAATCTCAGAAGCTATTGTTGAAAAAAGCAAAAAGATATAGATCGTTACAAAGATTTAATGTAAATAACGAAATTATAGGTACCAGACTTTGCTGAGGAAGATTCGGTGAAACACGTATCGAAGCCTGCTCACTCATGTCGCCCTTGATATTTTCTTGCTTTGAAGAAAAAAAACTTCGAAGCAAGGACTTTCCACTATGTCGTGCTTGTCTGATTGTTCTAAGCGGTCTACGGCTATCAAAGCGCGGCGGTTATCCGTTGTTCTATACATATTTTGCAGAGAATTTCATGAGCAATTGTATATGGACTTTGTCGTCTGTATGGAAGAAACTTACGTGATCTGCAACAGTCCCTTGAGAGAATTTATTAATGTCCTACAGTAGAAATATCACTCGAATTTTATTTATCAAAAGTACACGAAACGACTTAAAATTGGATGAAAAACTTTTCAACTATCTAAAGAATTGTTTTAGGCTAAAGATGAGATGGGTTAGTTCTCAGACATCTGTAATTCCTTCCTTTCAAACTTAAAATTGAGGTGAAAAAACTTTCATATTAGTATGAAAATTTTCTTAAAATTGTCTGAAAAAGCGCTATAGGTTTAGGGCTAGACTATTTTTCTAGCGTTTGAAGTTCTCAGTCAGTCAATAAAAAAAAATTACTTAGAAAAACTTAATTTATTTGGAAACATTCAAGAATGAAAATATGTGTTGAATTTCATTATGCAATGACCACGCTATTAATTCATGGACACGTTTTTGCGTCGTCATACTTTGGACGTACTTCGATCAAACTATGTCTAACATGTGACCAACCTTTTAATCACTTTTGATTATAGAATCAATTTCTTATCGAGAGATTTAAAGTGGTATGTAAATGAAACATTAAAAATTTTAAATTAAAAAGAATTCCTACTTTGCAGGATTATTATATTCGGTAGAGAGTCAAATAATTGAATTTATCGTTTACCAGATAATAGTGTCTTAATTTCGTATTGATTTAACAAGAGAAACGGTAATAATACTTTAATCTTAATACTTTTTATTTTAGTTTGTCCTGATGGTATAAATCCTTCCACTTCTAATTGTACTCTTATCGATAATGCTAAAGTAAGTATATTCAAAAACATTTTCGGCTATTTACAACTGTTTTTTCAAATCAACACTAAAATGTCCTGCATTTGCCGCACAGTGCACAATCACGTGGACACTAGGTGAAAGATTGACAGTGTTTCCTTTTTCGAGGTTGAAATAGTGCTAAATATACATTGACATTATGCTCTATTTAATGGGTATATAAGCTTTTGTTTTCACTGCTCTAGTTCATCGGAAAACACAGTCAAAGTTTGGTAGAAAAATGTCGTTGCTGAGATAGAGAGTCAACGGAAACTGGTTAACTGAGACTTTCGTCACCTATACTTTCGTTATTGACTAAAGTTTTGTCTGACTCTCACCAATAACCAAAGTTTTGTTTGAATTTCGGCAATTGACCAAAGTTTTGTGTAACTTCCGTCAAGTGACCAAATAAGCCTATCACTGATGAGGCTAGGCTGTAGATGTGCTTTTGTCGTGACATACTGTCTGTTTCAATATTATGTACTTTTTTCTTTTCTTTCTGGTGCTTATTCTATGTTGTCTCTTGTTGTCATTGTTCTCTATATAGAGTGGATATTGTGTCATTGCTCGCTTTATCTTTTCGTCTCATAGATATCTATATATATCTAAGTATGCTTTTCAAAAAAAAAATTAGCAGCAACAATTCATGCACTCTCGTTTCTAGTTGGCGATAAAGTTGGCAAGCCAAAAAACGATAGCAACAAAAAATAATCAGTGATCGAAGTAAGGTGAATTTTGGTCAGCTAACGAAAGTCAGACAAAACTTTGGTCAATTGACAAAAGTCACATAAAGCTTTGGTCAATTGATGAGAGTCAGATAAAGCTTCAGTCAATGACGAAGGTATAGGTGACAAAAGTCTCAGTTGACCAGTTTCCAATTCCTCGAGATAGATAAAGGGTTATCATAGAGACCAGAAACGCCTGCTACAAAGCCACACATATTCTGAAGCTAAACATTCCAGTCTACCAATTCATTTGATTTTGACACTATTGAGTCGGAAAAAAGTGTTTGCAAAGTGTGTTTTTGCTAAGTGTTCTCCTTAAAGTTACATTCAGTAATATTAGTTTTCGAATTTTTTCGAAACTTCAAATTTTACGAAATTTTGGAAAAATGTTCTTTTACTTATGATGATACGTTCACACTCTAGCACAAGTTAACCTGCGCTGAGTTACTGGGTTTCCAAAAAACCCTTGGTATCTAAAATAAAATCTATTTATCTTGGCTTAGAAACACTTTTATTAAAAACAAATGACATATTCGAAGTATTAAATGATGTGTGATTTGTAAGTTTTTTTGCGAAAAAAATGTTCGATATAATTGAATACTAGAGTTGAAGCAATACCGTGGCAATTCCACTAAAACCTTCCAGTTCTGGGGTAAATTAAAAAAATAGAACCCGTATCCCACCCCTACCCGACAACTTCGTATCCATACCCAACCTTCGGGCCAGGCACGGATATGGGTCCGGTTGCACTTTTCTATTGTCAACCATCTATAAGAAAACTTTCGGCAATTGCTGAAAGTTCAGTTTTCATCTACAGTAATTTTTAATTCAAAGCATGACGTCCACTGCGTCAGTGAGCTACGACAAATTTCGTGTTTCTCTAATTTTGGCTAGGCATTTGGATATTTGATTTAGAAGCAGTATAAAAGCCTCTGAACACTCTTCCTGCAGGTTTTCAGATGTGTTCTTTTAATGGTACGATTTACAAAGTTCAAAAACGCTTTTTATCTGGGTTTCAGAGACTCGAATCACTGAAGTAATATAAAAATATATAAGCATTTGTGAAGTTTGTAAATCACACCATCTGAAAACCTGTAGAAAGAGTGTTCAGAGGCTTTTGCACTGCTTCTATAGGGTATGTCCATGTGTCTGTCAAAATTGTCCACTCTGTGTCGAGCATCAGTCTTATCATAAGAAACGAAAATAATTAACTACGATTAAGATGTATATTCGTGAACAAAATTATTAAATTTTCAATTTAGAATGCAAGTTATAACGAAATTATAAGTTATGATTCTAATAGTAATACAAGTATGGATACAATGTCATTAGTTGAAGCTATTGATGACTATTTATTTATTGCTTCAAAAAATGCTTCATCAAATACAATTCTACATCCTACGATATTAGACAATGTATTTAATTCAATAAATATAAGTATTAACATTAGTTCATCTCAATCGTATTTAATGTCAGTTAATCCTAACAATGAGAAAATTATTGGTGCTTATTTTAATAGTATAACGTACGGTTCTCCATTAAATCAATCGACAAATTTTGCTAGTATCATCAGTAGTTCAGTAGTAGCAGCAACAATAGATGACACATATTTGAATTCAATTTCTTTATTAAAAATGCTCATAATCTATACTCCAAATGATTATTTAAAAATAAATGATAGTGGAAAGAAAAATTTAGCCTCTTCCATAATTATTGCTGATCTGACATCTAATAATAAAAACCTATCGTCTGGCATTCCAATAACGTTATATTTTACGATAAGATATCCACAAAACATAACTAGTAATTCACTCTTCTATTGTTCATATTGGGAAGTGACAAATAATAGTTGGAGTCAAGATGGTTGTAATTATATAGGATATAATCAAACATTGGCTACACATGTTTGCTGGTGTAATCATATGACTACATTCGCTTTATTATGGTTACCATCGTCTGATACAGATAATGTTCAATGGACAGTACGAGATTATATTTCAATGGCATTTCAAGCATTGTCTATTCTATGTTTTCTAGGACTTATAATTCATTGTATAGTAACATGTTCATGTTTTCGAAATAATATTATGGATTTTCAACCCAACGATTTATTACCACTAATATCGAGTGGTAGTACAATGATTTTATTCATATTTTATCTTGCATTAGGTATAACTGTTCATCAACGTCAAGATATTAGTCTAAGTGAAACAAAATGTTTTTCAACTGCAAGTGTTCTCATGTTTTTAGTCTATTTTTGGTTATTATTTATGTTTTGTTGTAAAACATCCATTGGATATTTTAATTATTATTATTTTGTTCATCTATTTCTACTGCCAACATTAAAACCTTTGTGTATTTTATTATTAACATCTTTTATTATTTCCATTGCTGGTGTTAGTTTTGCTGCTGGTTTCAATTCAAATTCAAATTATAACATTAGTATGTTGTATCCAAGAAAAATTTGTTGGTTCACTAAAGGTGTGTTATATTATTACTTGACAGTACCCGTTAGTGTATTTTGTGTTTTAAATTTGATAACAATTGTTCTCGTTGCTAAACATCTCATAGCATATGCCAGACGAGCGAATACACCACGTCAAACCTATGAACGTCGAAAACGAGTAATACTAATTTTATTATCATCTTGTGTAACACAGAGTATAGGCTGGTTATTTGGACCATTTCTAGCAGACATATCGGAACCAGCTGGAAGTGTGTTCGCATGGATTTTTGTGATCTGTAATGCACTCGAGGGTTTATGGTCTGTATTATTGTACATTCTTATCAGGCAACAACGAGCAGCTGACGCAAAACGACTTTTTCATATTGTACGAGATACTGAACTAGACAAGTCAACAGTATTATTACGACCACAGCGAAACGCGATAAGAGAAAGAAATTTTATGGACTTAGCATCTCATACAGATGTAATATATCCAATACAAGAAATTGATTGTACTGATGGTCCAGCAATCTCGGTCTACAAACATGACTAGTAGAAAAGATAAAACGTAGTGATGACTGCTCTAATAGTCATGTAGTGGCAACTGACTAGAATCCATTTTTTTTCAAAATCTCCAATGCTTGAAGATATTCTATAATTTTTATTCAATGTTAGAGCCATAATCTTCTATTTTCAAGTGAATTTTATCAATATTGGAACAGACTTCACTCGATAGTTCGTCTTGAGCAACGAGCCTTTTATTATAATACTTTAAATCATTACGAGTATTCCGTAAAAGTTTTTACAACGTCTCCAAGATGTTACATTAAATGTGAATGATCTAAGAGGAAAAATGTGAGTATGTCAAGTTATTCGGCTTATCGTAGTCTAAAACATAGAACAAAAACTTCTACTTAACTGCTAAATTATGGAAGGCTTTTGAAAAACTAAAAGTTTACCCAACTTATACCATTAGTCGTAATCGAATTCTTACTTTGAATTAACAACAGATGCATAAAGTAGTGTGTTTGGTTCTAATTATGCAATATATTCTTCCGAATCGACTGCAACAACCAAGTTATATGTCGACCTGTCCAAGCGTTACGGACTGACGTTTTTTATTAATCCGCCATATTTTTCTCTGTGACAAATGAGACTGTGAGGATCATTCTTATGTCGGCTGATAGCGGCCGATGAGCTCTGTCTACCTACAAACTATCATCAGTTATAGTCAAATAGTTCGGTTTTTATACAAATAATACTGAGCGTTACAGACTTGCAAAAAAATACAAGTGAACATGTAGCCGAGTAGGAAGAGATAAGAAGTTTAGCGAGTTGTGAATGTAGAAGTTTAGAGTAGCGACTGCAGCTGCTGATTTGGGGCAAAAAAGGTTTCGTCACAGCACTCTTTGGTCTATGAGATGTATCCAAAATAAAAACGTTACGGACCTACATTTCGTTATGAACCTACGCAAAATTTGTTTTTGTGTTTTCTTCTTCCTACAGTGAACGTCTGCTATAATCTTAACTATACGAGACTTCAACTGAACTACTACTTATTTTATGTGATATCGAAGCTGCTCTATAAGATGATGCTTTTAGTTTTTGCCAAAAAACACTTTTCTTCTTTGGCCAAGCAAGTAGACAATTACATGGAAAAGTCGATATAGAGATGGCAGACGATGAAAAATTTGGCGGTGGCATGTAAAAACTTTTGGCTAACCCGCTGCGTTGTGGACTCCTCCAGTTTTTTCTTCCGCCATTGATGGCGGCGATGTAGCAGGTTGGCTGCCATTTCTGCTTATGTAGCATGAAAGATAGATACATCGACAATTCCGCGGATGACCTGAAACCTGAGTGAAGTTATGTGATGAATAGTCATCATGTGATACAGTTAGAGATATACAGTTTCGCGTCATGAAAATATTTTTGTGTGAAACTACTTTTAAAACTCACTCCCACACTACCCACAACATCTCCTCCCACGACACACTGCCAAAAATACCCAAATGTGCAGAAAAATTCGTGGAAAAGCCGGGATCCTGTTCGCGGAAATGTCGTGTTACAGTTACTAGCGGAAGCGGCCGCTGTAGTATCAGTGCCATCGTGTGTATGTTTGTACAGCCAGCTGCAACGGGTATCGAAACTGCAGCGCCCGCTAACCTGCTTCAAGCATCTTTATTGTTTTGTTACTGTTGATGTTTATTAAGAGAGCAAAATAAAACACAAATATTTGAACCATTTTTTTCAGTAGCTCAAGTCGACTTGAACCACAAGAAATAAAGTGACACTGCAGTAGAATTGCCTGATAAGAATTCTGTGGTTTAAGTCGATGGTCTATGTTGACATAGATCAAGAGAAATTTTTCGAAGAGATATAAAATCATCACAGAAATTCCTGAATGGTTTATGTTGACTTAGGCCACAAGAAACAAAGTGACACTGAACTGCTTGGGAATAAACAAGTATTCGCGGTAATGTCGTTCGTGGAAATGTCGTGTCACGGAAAGGTAGCTAAGATATCCAAAAATTTTCATCTTTTAAGCATTTGTTTTATAACACTCATATGTATAGGCAAATTACCCAGTGATTTCTAGCAAACTTAGGAAAATGATGTATTTACATGTTTGATCTGCTATCCCTTCCAGAATAGAAGGTCAGTCTGAGGCGAAAATTTTTGAAAAACGCCCTATTTTACTCTCATATTATTGTCTAATCCCAGCAAAAGGTAAGCAAGTGAGAAAATTTTGCTGTAGAAATAGGTAGAGCGCCCATTTGCAGCTGGATTAAAACCCACATTTATCTGGCTACTTGCTGACTGATTTGGACAGATTTTATTTTAAAGTGAGTCCAATATTATCTCTGCAGTTCTCGCTGAATAACAAAGTACAAAAGTAAATAGGAAAAGTAAAATAAAAACAAAAGAGAAGGAAAAGAAAAACGCACAGATGTACAAAGAAGTAGTGTCAACATTATGAAGCAAAATAGAAAAACACTTTTTTCATCTAACTCTTCGAGTGCTTCATATTTAGCTTAGTCTTGATGAACAAATAAGATACTCACATATTTTACCCGTCGCATGAATGTTTAAGAGTTTCATTCATTGACACATATACTGAGAGGAGTATAGGATACAACATTTATGACATTCGTGAGTACAGCATTAGTACGAACACAATGTTTTCTTAAATTTTTATCAAGCAAAATAAAATCAATTTATGCAATCAAAACACCTGTTTTAAATGAAACAATTTTAATTTCCAAACTATTTAGCTGCAAAAGATACGAATACGTTTCTCTTTCAATTACGGTCTGACTGATGATGCACGAATTTCAGTTATCGCTACTGTATTAGCACTATGTTCTGGAGGTAGTGTTTTAGCAGTTCTGACGAATGATTTCCTATAGTATTTTTGGGCTGCATGATTATTTCTCAAATATTGATGTACTCATTAATTATCAAATATTGACCAGTTACAGAGAGATGTTATAGATAGAGGCACGTGTGATATAATCATAGAATGATGTAATATTCACTATATGTGAATAATCATCCATTATTGAACACCATAAAGCGTCAGTTTCTTATAATGGCATGAATCATAATGCAGCTGTATGTTAAAATAGTGCTTTAACACTTTCTAAGTCATTATCATCTGAATCATTATAATACAGCGGTAACGCTAGTCGCAAGGCGAGGTATTCTTCTTCTTTCTTCTCTTCTGTATATCTACATGTTTGTGTGACTGAGCATCCGTCTGTATGTGTATTGGGCGAATATTATCTGTGACTGACTGATTGAATCTTCACTGTTTAACTATACGGATATCTTCACATTAACGCAATTTAGAGTGTGGCCGACAGAGTTACTGTCATAGTTCTGTCGGCGATGCGTGAGAATGAGAGTGAAGCACCAGATAATGCCACCAATCCTATAGACTTATTCGTAATTTGATTCAACAAACCGTCCGTAAAAGTAGTCAGTCAATCAGCCGCATATGTACTTATTCAATACACAGATATAGACATCACACAGATGCAGTCAGTCGGTCAGACATATATCCGGCCATGTATACGCTTATCCAATATATATGTATGTAGCCAGACATTTTAATAGCTAATAGACATAAGTAATTTTCTACGTGAAACGATAATTTGTGCAGACTTTCTCATGAACTCCATTTCTAGTACTGAATAACAATGGTGATTTGCTCAACCGTGATAATCAGGTGAATCGGGTGCAAGTTTAATTTTATCTAAAACTTTTCTTTCTATCACCGTTCAAGATTTCACCATTGTAAGAAAATATAGTAACAACGGGATGAAGAATATTAATAACAGAAATACTTCACAAAAACGTTGAATGCAAGATGTAGTAAAGCATTTTCGTTTTGTTTTATCCTTTTGAAGTATGGTCGTTTTTTCGAATACGGGTAACCTTATTTTTGTAGGAGCGACATGATCCATTTCAAAAGCGATAAAATAACAACAGCAACTGTTTACAGATTCATAGTTATTTAACAAAACATAGAATTAAAAGAATGAAACATTGTTATAAAAATAAAGACAACGTTTAGAAAATTTTCATTTTTAGTTTCAAGACAATAAGCAACTAAAAAGCTTTTTCTTTATTCACCTGTTACCTGTTTCTTACTTTTTACTTTAAGTGTTTGTTTGTTTCTTTGTAACCCTGACGGATTTATTTCGGTATATTTTAAATCGACCGGTAATCAATCGTTGAATCAAGCAGACCTCTAAATTCTCTTGGCCGTTGTCAGGGCTTTTCAACAAGCTCTCTTTCCTAGAGTTGCCCAACGGACTCCCACTCCTTCATTCTGCACACCAAAACCACAAAATAGTTAATTGAAAGCTATATTTAAATAGGAAGAATAGAGCTTTAACTAAAAAACCACAACAAAAAAAAAACCCACCATTATTTAATTGACTCACCATTCAAAAACTTATCCAATAACATCACCGTAAAAGAACAAGAAAAACTGCACTGAATTAACAAAAGCACAGATAAAAACAGACACATAGGCTACAAAAACAATATTTTGTTTTTGACAAAAAGCCGTCGTTTTGCATTAATTTTTATGGCTAATCCACGTGCGTGTGTAACGTTTATTAAGTGAAATTTAATTTTCGAAAAAATTCTGAATCTAATACCCGGTTTTAAATTTTATTACAAACATATTGCGAAATCATCGAAATACTACTTAAAGTCCTGATAGGACCCGCTTTTCTCACAGACAAACAATTTACTATCTTTAAGCGCTTTTACTCGTGAGAGTTCTGAGTGTATCCTAACTGTAATATAAGTCACAAACCGACGCGATCGTTTGAAGGAAATGGGAACAACGACTATTTTTCTCTCAGTTCTCGTCACTTTTTCTCCCGGTTATCTTGAGTATTTCTTCGTACCGGAACAAGTTGGTCCTGCATAACCGTTTGTGGGTCGATCGCACTCGACGATCGCACTCGACATAGGTCGAATTTCCGGGAGCACAGGTACCGCCATTTTTACACACATTGCATTGACCTAAAATGGACAGTGACGTAGTAGCGGGCACGTAATGGTGATTCTACTGAGGTTTCGGTTGCTTTTTGCTTTCTAAAAGACTTTAGTTTGACACTCATAACTAACTTCTGAGTAAAGTCGAAGTAGAACTTTGTTCTTAACCCAATTTAACTGATGTGATGTTTGAGTTTAACTGGTAAGGGGTAAATTCTCATGAATACAGGAAAAGAGGAAGAAGCTTAAATCTCACTTGCATATTTCCACCAAAGAAAGGGTTTTTCATCGGAACAAATCCCGTTCACTTGTTTTATCAACAAAAACAAGCATTACGTTGAAAGGGGGAAAAAGAAATGTTTTGTTTCACTACGTAGCGAATACAACAGAGACGTGTGTATTCATCGTTTATGAATAAATAAAAAAGGCTGTCTCGCACCATTTAGTCATAAAATAGTTAGCTGAAAAGCGAGGTGATGAAAAGTTAGCCCGTGCAAAGCTTTGTGGACTTCTCTGCTGTGTGAATTTTATTAGGGACGGCTTTGGTGAAATAGATATTGCTGAAGACGAGAAAATCTGAAAGGGCGTCTGTAGCGACACTTGGTAGCGTAGTTTTTTCGTGCGGAAAGCTAATCGTAAATGTGTTGGTAAGGTAAACGTACCTTCCGATTAGTGACAGTACAGAAACATCGTTGAACAGTTGTTGGTGCCTGCGGCTCTCCATAGTTGCAAAAGTCAACAAGTCAGTGAAGGTAGTAAACGTGATCGCCATGCAGCCAATAACATGCAATACCGTGTATAGACTGGATCAATTATTACAGGGCAAAATGTTGTAATTGCACATCGGGTTACAACGGCAGTACATGCAGTACGTACCCTCTTTCTATATTTTGCCCTGTAATAATTCATCCAGTCCATACACAGTATTGCATGTTATTGGCTGCATGGCGATCGCGTTTACTACCTTCACTGACTTGTTGACTTTTGCAACTATGTTGATTTTTGTAACGTAATGTCGATCGAGCAGCTAGAAACATTGATTAATGACTAGAAGAACGAAGAAAACTAAACGTCTAGAATTGTAGTTCCGTTCTTTCTTGGAAAACAATGTCGTCACACAATTTCTAGGGTTAATAAATTGCGAATCTATCCGGGTGTACGTCGACAAAGCGTGGATCGTATGACGAGCGAAAAGATATTATTGAGTCGTGAGTCCATTATCTACGCGAAAAGTTTGTAAGCAACTGCTCAAGATATAACCGAGAGTTTTTAACAGATCCATAACTCATAAATGCTCACTCTGAAACCTTCATTATATCTGGTGAGTTATATTTGTTTTTCTTGTAGCTTGTCCAGCGAGCCAAATACCATTTACGTTTGACGACTTTCCTACAGCAGATGCAAACGTTGGTTATAAAGGTCTGCAATTTGTCGGTGGATCTTATATAGATATGAGAACTTTCGGTGGATCACATTCTGCTCGAGCAAGTGGGAACTATGTGTTAGGTTGTGGGGGCGGCGGATTAACAATAAGAACAAACGATAGTTCAACATTTACTTTTAAATCATGTGTATTAGGCGCTTTTTATTCGACGGCCTCACAATATAACGTATCGGGTTACCATGGCAATAACATCGTTAATTCAACAATAGTGTCTATGTATTGGGCAACGCCGGTCACGTGTCAACCTAATTGGACTAATATAACAAGCATTACATTTTATAGAGTATCTGGTGGCAATTATGCTGATTTTGGTGTGGATAGCCTATGTATACATTTGAAGGAAAAGTGATAGAGACATGCGGTTTTCACCGTTGGATAGAAAACATCGGGGGATGTAAGTGTATGCGAAGCTAGGCTTCCAGCTAAGGTTTACCATGGTAAGCCTTTCGATGCAAAGCTTACAAGACCGCCGTTCCCGGACTGTACGATGAATTTTGATTTTCAAACAGTGCAATCGATAGCCCCGAACCGACATCCTTAACTATAATCCAGGAGCTATAACCATTTTCCTGAGAGCCACGATTTCGGCCAGTTGACCTTAGGTGATCCTAAAATGGGTCAAGATAGGGGTAATCGGCCATGCTGAGTCGGGTGGTGATGTTTATGTTTAGTTTCAAACCGGCCTAAAGTCATTATATCAAGATTTTCGAAATATTCGTTTTATACGCACATAGCGGAATAGAATGCTTTAATTTGAAAATCCTGATATATTGACTATAGGTCCATTTGAAACTAAAAATAAACATCTCCACTGGGCTCAGCGTGGCGAGTTATCCCTATCTTCACCCATTTTAGGATCATCAATGGTGAAAACAGCAAGTCTCTATCACTTTTTGTTCAAATGTGATAAGCATTGTGCCAAGCCACCTAGTTTTCAGAAAAGGATAATAGTTATTATGTCCTTCGAACATAGTTGAGAATAAAAAAGATAAAAAAATGTGAGAGTATTATTTTGCACCTTCATCTCAAGATTGATGTTTCCCAAAGAACAAAAAAAGAAGAAAATGCATAGCGGCCTGGTCAAGCGTAATATGGCGCACTCAGAGACAAATATTTCGATGAAGGCAAATACTACAGAGCTGAAATTTTTTCTGTGATGGTATACCATGAGTTCTATCTCTAGTAAAAAGAAAAGAAAAGCGTTATTTTTCGCAGCTCTAATGTATCAAAAAAAAGTGCAGCTTTTTTATTCGTTTCTATTACGTGAAAAGAAAGGACAACAAAAAGAAAGCATGGCTGTTAGTAGTAGTACACACATATTTTGCTTTTGTAACAATGACAAGGGTTAGTTCAGAAACTGTATACTTTGCTGAAGTGCAAGGCAATTAACAGGCTTTAAAGTGACAAAGCCCAATGGACTGTGTCATCGATAAGTCGGTACTACTGCATATGTTAAAATGAGCATTTTTCTACGTTTTTACGGAGTAATTTTCCAAGCAGTTGCTTGTTCGCCATATTTGTGTCAAACCATGTCAAACTTCGGTCATTCAGTTTTCGGACAGATCTGTTCTCGGTCCAAGCTTTAGGAAGTGACAACTTTGCGTAGGTTAGTTCGGCTTTAATGCCTCTACTCAGACTTTCTACTGTGGCCTATTAGTCTCAGTCTTATTGCGCGCCAACTTTTTCCCTCTCTAATTACCACATAATTTCTGAACATCTCGTAAAGCAATGTGCAAGTCGATCATTACTATAAATGTGTTGTTCAGCACATGCCATTTTCAGTCACTCTATTTCTCGTAACCCACTTTCTTACTCAAATACATAGTAAGCAAAGGGATATGTCTAATTCGTATACAAACTTTTGTGTTTTTCTTCTTTCATTCATTCTAGATACACAGAAAATGACGTCAACCAGTCGAGCTGTTTCAATGTTTATTCCACATGGTGGCGGACCACTTCCACTTCTCAACGACCCTTCGCATCGTGAAGTCATTGAATTTCTTCGCGGTAAAGCACGACAATTACTTGGCACTCCAAAAGCAATTATTCTCGTCACAGCACATTGGGAAGAACGTCTACCGACTATTTCCTCAGCTGAACAACATTCACTATTCTTTGATTACTACGGGTTTCCAAAGGAAACTTATGAACTTCAGTATCCAGCAAGTGGATCACCGTTGATTGCTGAAAAAGTTAAGAAAGCACTGGAAAAATATGGTTTTCAAGCGAAACTTGATGCAAAACGTGGTTGGGATCATGGAGTGTTTGTACCTTTGACACTTCTCATACCTGACGCTGAAATTCCCATTGTCCAATTATCAGTCCTCACCTCACAAGCAGCTGATGAACATTTGAAGATGGGAGAAGCACTGAGTGAATTACGTAATGAGAATATTGCAATTATTGGTAGTGGTATGAGTTTTCACAATATGAAAGCATTTCAGAGCAGTGGAGGTAAACACGATGAAAATAAGTTGTTTGAAAATGCCCTACAACAGTCGATTGAAAGCGGAGAGCTGGATAAACTCAAAAATTGGGAACAATTTCCAGGTGCACGTTACTGTCAACCACAGGGACAAGCTGAGCATTTTATGCCCTTGTTAGTTGCAGCTGGCGCAGGAAGGGAAAATAATAATTCGAAAGGAAAATGTGTAGCAAAACTAGAACTTATGGGAACGATTGTAAGTTCATATTTGTGGACGTAGAAAGGTTTTCCTGTAGTTTTTTTCTATCACATTTTGTTCTACTAGTCAAATAAAGATGCTTCGTGGCACAATGGAAAATCAAGTGTTCTGAAAAACTGGTGAATGGCAATAGTTAAAAACTAGAAACAAAAACGAAAAAGTGTTCCATTGCGTTTCCAATCAGTTCTGAAAATACGAAGCCCTAGCGACTTTTAATGTTTATTTCATAGCATTTCTACGGAAAGCCCAAGAAGACGGGAGGGGTACTCTTAGTTCCCGAGTAAACAAAAATGGGTGGACATATAGCGAATCAACTTTTTTATTCATTCGTGGGGATCATCATCATATGCACGTTGTAATGACAAAAGACTCCCTTCTTTGATAATCTCAGCTATTCGCGTTTGTCCGGTCTTCTCTTTCATGCATTTGCTTTCTTTTAAGGGCCCTCCCCTCCTCAGAAAGTATCTCCGACACCGTACATCCGATCTTGACGAAACCTTTATTGGTTTTCTAGGCAACCAATAACCTCCCAAACCCGAAAAAGCCTTCCGGATTTTCTAAAAATCCTCAGTTTGACAAAAAATTAAGACCAAATTCAAAAATCGACGCCGGTCAGTCCATGTAGTTTCTTTTCCTCTTTAAACAAAAAAACAATGAACTCTCTACGACAAGCCGCTATTAAAAAACTTGGGACACACTTGAGGTGTAACTGTTATATAGAGAAAAAGTTGTATTAAACGCTGTACGAAATACTTCATTTTAGCGCTTCTAGGAAAATGTCTGTAACTTTTTGGTACAAGATCATACAGAGTTGTGCGAGGTCTTATTTTGATCAGAAACGTCTGTTCTACAAAGCTGTGTGTTCAGAAAATACACTAGTATCCACAAAAAAGCTATTATTTGAAGACGAGGCCCCTAGAAAGCTTGCTAAAAATCCCCGAAAAACCAGTTTTGTAATCAAGAACAATACAGATTCTGAAAGCAGCCACTTCAGGCTATCTTTTCATGTGCGCATCTCAAAACCGGTTTTTTGATCGAAAATCACCATTTCTGAGGATGAGGGGGGAGGCTCTTAAAGAAAGATTTATACTGTTAACAGCCACTTTCAAAATGCTGCCTGAAAAACTGTTTAAATACAAACCAACGCTAAGTTTACACTATCAAGCGTGACAAACGGAAGAAGTAATGACTGATTGTAGCATAATTTTTCCAAAAAGGTTGTATTTCAATCAGAAAACATCCAGGTGGTTTAAATGCAATATCCAATGCACATAATATTTAATTCCATTAGTATTCCAACTAATATCGAATTTGACTCATAAAATCGAAGACAAAAACGTAGATCTGTCTTGAAATCGAAATAAATAAAATCATAAGCCGTGGCAGATGGAACAACATTAAAAACTGACATTATATGAATAAAAAAGCATGAAATTTCTCCTTTTATTGTGTGTACGACTGTAGTGTCGTTAATTCATATCATCATCCGGTTGTTTTTGTCGGATTCTTTTGATTTTATACTTTTTTGAACGATTTCGAAAATAATGCTTTATCCGTACGAATATATTTTGTGTACTATCTTCTTTTGTCTGTTGCACGCGTTTACATTGGTCGCTATTTGGAGTAAATGTAGCAACGATTTCATTGATGACAGATTGACTATTTTCTGAATAGGCTAATGCTCCAAAATAATTTATCTCGCTTGCAGATAAGTCCAAGTCTTGGAAGTTGCCAATATATGTACATAATACCTAAAGAAATAATAATAACAGTGGTGATCTATAATGGTACCATATACCTGCATTTCTCGAAAATGGATTTATTGATTCTTCTACGACTTTTTTCCGGTCGTTTGATTCCACCATAGACAAAAGCACATTTTCTGGAATTATTGGCGTCGATAAATAATAATTCATGTACTCAATGAATGCTCTTCGTTCGCGATACGGATTTCCTCTCATGCGTGTGAGTCTGAACGGATTTGACTTTTGCGTTTTATCAACTGCATGACGTAATGCAATTGCATCGTCACTTGTTAATGCCAAATCAGCAGTATCATTATAAAATAGCGATAGATGTATACTCATTTCAGAATGATACGTTTGTTTATAATACTGGATCATTTTGTTTGCTGAATCTTGATCATTGTTGCTCATGCCAAATATTAAACTACTGTGATCAACAATAAACGATAATAGATTATCATCCATTATCATTGGTAAATATGTTTTTAAACTATGTAAAAAGCGCAGAGCCGATTTTCCAGATGCTGCACGAGTGTATGCAAATAGACGAACTAATGAACGTATTAATAGATAACTTGGAGTATCTAAATAAAACAGTAGCAGATCATGCTATGCGGTAACTGAACAGCAGATGTGGTGAGTATACTTATAGTAAAGATATATTAGTGAGCAGCAGTAACGAACACCACTCGCTAATCCTACGGTTTTGAATGAGGTAGACTAACGAAGGAACTATCCGAAATTGATTTCTTCTTGAAATACCCTTAATTGAGTTTAACTTTTGAGATCGATCACGAATCTAAGATGACCACTTTTGCCTCTAGAGCTTTTCTCCTTGAATCTCCAGAAACACGATTTCGACAAATCCAGCACCAATTTCCATTTGAACAAAAGTTTGATACAGCCAGTTGGCAGAACATGTCGATGTGCCCATGTGAAACCTTTTGACGATGAAAAAGTGCTCTTTCACTGACATATGAAACTTTTACTAAAAGAATGGACACAATACACGATCCACCTTAATAATGGCCCTCCCTAATATAAGTCTTTCTTGGGCTCAAAACGAGAAAACTACAATAGAAGACTCCTCTCCTCCCGCCGCCTTTTTATCAATTTTTTGGTCTGAAAATATGGTGATTTTTGTCGTTCATTCACACACTATTTTTTCCTTCGTCTTTCTATTCAGCTGTATGAATGAACACACAGCTGACAAACGAAAAAAACTATTCACGTATTGTTGTGCAGTGATGTGATGTGATGCTAATGAGATACGATGCGATACAAAATCTGTCTTCCTCCCACGTTTCCATACACATAAAAGAGTTCTTTTACTTGCACATAACTTGTATATCGATAAAAAAATGACTGATTAACACAAAATCCTAGTCGGTAACCACTGAATTTCGACGATACTGATCAAAATAATAATGAAACAGAGTCATAAAAATAAACAGCGGTCATGAGCTGTATAAACAACCTTGCCTATGGTGTAGACTTTCAATCAAGCGATTTTAGCATAAAAACAGGCCTTTTGAGCGCTTGGTGTTACACTCTTTTTCGCATACAGATATTGATGCATTATTAGCTGTCCGTACAATACACTGAAGCCACTCTCTAACATGCACTTAATTGAGTTCCAAATGGCCAGTCTATAGAGCTATTCATATGAGAGAGTTTCATTTCTTTTTCTCAAAGTTTCCTTTTTGCTAATCGTGTAGTATCGCTTTAGTATTTTGTAAAACTAGGCATGATGTTTCAAGTCAGAAATAAGACTTGAAAAGCCTTGCACTACCTGATCCTTTTTTATGACAAAACTATCAGAAAATAAACTGTATTATAAAAATAATCGTTTGGTTTTTACAATATTTAATTATTCTTTCTGCATACAACTAGTATGATGCATTCATGTACGTATCAAGGGTGTGTTCGCTGTTCACTGCTTATTCTGAATGAAATTAAGGTATTACAGTGAAGCAAAAATCAGTCAGTTTTCTAAATATTATCGTCATCTGTTTTGAATTTAGTTTGATCTCCAGATCGTATTTCTGCTAAGTACGCCGATAGTGCATACATTTCAGAAATATGATTACTCTGATAAACAAGTTATGTTAGTGATCACTGCAGAAATATAGTTGTGTTCACTATAGGTCTATTGAGTTGAAAAACTAGTGATGTTTGTTTTAATCCGAGAGGTTCAGTATTATCAAAATTTAACAAACTTACCCAAACATGTCAACATCCAACCGCGCCATAATTTGATCATTGTATTTTTATCCTTCATGTTTTCTAAACTAGCATTTGGACCATAAAGATCTGGATCGACTGATGGTAAGCTATTAGGATTACTACAGAGAGAACCTGAGGCAAATTGTTTTTGAATTTTGTATTTAGACAATATAAAATCAATAAAACCAATCAATGTAAAGACAGCATTATAAACTACATGTGTTTGATCTGTATCATTGTATAATACTCCTATAGCCGTGGGAAAGGCTGTGGTATAATCAATATCTGCGGGTACAATATGATTGTAATCAGCTGTGGGAACTTTAGCAGCTGCTAGGTTATTCTGATAGCCATCACCAAAAGTGTTATCCAACGGACGAAAATAGCATTCTAATAAAATATCATTTATTAAAACTGACAAATTTTTTTTAACAATATCTGATTTCCAAACATCACGACCGCTTAGTTTATCTATACGTTCGGCTGTTTCCTTATACCGAGCTTCTCGTCCCATACGATCGAGACTTAGTGTTACACTAATATTGATAAGGATAAAAACGAATGGAGAAATAAAACGATGTATTGTTAACATTGAGTACCACAAATAATATACGATCAGAAGAATGAGTGAATTGATGCACTACTGCTATGTAGTGAACGCATCTCTCTATATAATGCAATTACGACTATTCAATAACAACAAATTTAATTACAGAAGTCTTTTCATAAGCTATAACGAACATATAATCAAGCATCAAGATATAAATTCATTGTTTTATATGACTTGATAGATTCTTGAGCTGTGCTACAGATTCGAAAAAACCTAGGGACAAGAAAACACTTTAGATATTCTATTTATTTAATTCTGAATCTATTTTATATTTATCAATTCATTCGCTACTTATGTAATAAATCAAGATGTACTATCAAAAGTAGAGACACCACTATCGAGAATGTTTTTCTAGCGTGTAATGCATTTAGACATGGGTTTGGCCACCTAACTGTCACCGTTCAAGTAGAAGATGGAAGGGTAAAACTAATCAAAACCAGTGATAGCATTAGACAGAGCGTCTAGAATAGTATATTGAATCGATAGCAAAACCATCAAAAAGTGCCCTTAGGCTCGCTATTGATTTGTTAAATGTTTTAGGATCGAGAAAATCAGTAATGATACTGACCAATCTTTCATATCATTTGTTTTCCCCTAACCGCAAGCTGAATAAAGTTGAAATTAAAGTATATCGATTGGAAAAACATTCCTCTTTCCAGCGGTCACTAGGTCAGACTCGCAAAATGTACGTACGCATGTTGAGAAATTTCAAAAATAAAACATCTACATTCCTCGTAAAATTCCGTCATGAACATTGCGCATTTTGTGCTTTTCATTCACATAACGAGCTAAACTATTAAAAAAATTACTCACATAGACTTGCAGATCCCGTCGAGATCTCTCGGGGAAATCTTCAAAATACCGCGAGAGTCGCAAAAAGTGAGCGTTATAGAGAAAAGTCAAGATTTTACCGTTTTTCGTTCACTCTAGTATTTCGAAACTATTTTACTCGGGTTCAGCATCAAAAATTGAGTATCGAAAAACGGTCAGATCTTGGCTTTTCTCTATAACGCTCACTTTTTTACCTTTTGCGACTCTTGTGGCATTTTGAAGATTTTAAGAATAGCAACGTCGCAAATTTATAAATTTTAAATTTGTTATTAACTGTCAAGTGCTATATTCTTAACAAAACTGTTTAGAATGGTGAAAGAGAGGTACGCGGATGATAGAGAACCAAAGAGGTTTGGCTGGGTTCGTTTGAGTGTCGAATTTATGGCAAGCATAACCTTCTACACTGGACGCATAAAATTTTGTTACGAATGAGATTCCACTTCCCCTATTTTTGCTATAGCTGCTGATCTATTTCACCGATCAGACTCACACTTTCAGAATTTGAAGAACCTGCTATTATACACGTTTGATAAAAATTTCATCGCCATCCCTTACATGGTTTTGGAGATACAAAACAAAGAAGTGAAATTCCGTCACGCTTGGCTAAGTCGATATATATTATGCTGATCGATAATTTGAGCGTACAAATGAAAATTTCAAATTAGATCAGCTATTGAATGAGAACAAATCTGATTCAAAGAAACTGTACACTATACAGCTTGTCCACGCGTTACGAACTGTCAATTTTTCAATATCCGTTACAATTTTCGCGATAACAAGGTCTTCGAACCTTCGGAAGGTGTTTTCCGTAATCAGCGGATCAAAGTGCATATGGAGAAGTGTATTTCGAGGTTTCAGAGCTACGAGAAGTGTTCGAACTTTGGTCAAAGTTTGGAGGTCTTTGATTTTGACACCCTCCACTTGCACACCTATCAGCGATCTCCTATCGAACGATAGAACCTTCATTTCTACACCATTCGAACCGCCTTGAAACATAAAAAAGTTACAGATTTAGTTTTTTCATTTCTTTTCTTTACTGAAATATTATTTTTTCTTTGAAAATGACATGTTTTCACCTATACGCACTTTGATCCGCTGATTACGGAAAACACCTTCCGAAGGTTCTCGACGGGATCTGTCAGTCTATGTGAGTAATTTGTTTAATAGTTTAGCTCTTTATGCGCAAAATGCGCAATGTTCATGACGGAATTTTACGAAGAATGTATTCTAAGAAGACTACAGACTTGCTGTTTACATCATTCAGTTTAGCTTGCTGAGCTCTATAGTATGAGATAGGTCGCGTCACTGACGTCAAAGATTTCGGGCGAGAAATGAAAAATTAGAAAAAAATCGGTAAGTGATTTTTTTCAGATATGGGGCTTATCAAAACTGCTTCGGCAGCACCCTATACCACAAGGTAGTCGCAAAGCGGGGTCTTCTTCCTTCCTTCTTCCTGACCGGAAACGGCATCAAAGCGAATGAATTTATATTAGTAATGTTAAAATGCGTGTAACTCGGTGGTTCAAGATCGCAGAAATTTGGCAAACATTTCATTTTGCGGAGATCTGAAGGAGCTATCCAATGATATGGCTGAAAATACTTTTGAAAGAAATTTCAAGATCACTAGGTTTTCAAGAAACTGGGTTTTTCAGAAATCTCTATCTCAAGACCCTATTGTGTAGTATAACTCTAATTCAACGTTTTACAGCTCTGAGGATTTTTTCCCTGATATTCTAGGTAAAGAACGAAATGTCTTTTTGCTTCAAAAGTTATAAGAGAAGTAGGATATTACTCTTATTATCTCTATCATAATTATTCATCTCAAACGCGCATAGCTTAGCAAAATAAGCTTTCCTAACTCAAAACGTACTTTCAGTTTAATACTACCGGTTAAATACTACTGGAGGTGGATGTTTTCGGCATCAATGGATAGGCTAAGTCCATATAAAACCGTTTACCATCTACATCGGCCGTTCATGTCAGTGGCGAGACCTAACCCATATTATAGAGCTAACCAAGCTGAACCGAATCGTGAAAACCGCAAGTCTCCAGCCTTTGTTAGAAAAGAATCTATAGCCATTTTACCGTCGCAGCAGAAAAATGCATTTTCATCATTTTCCAATCTTGAGATAGAGATTTTTGAAGAACCCGATTTTCTACAAAATCTAGTGATCTTAAAACGTCTTTCAGAAGCCTTTCAGCCATATCATTAGACAGCCCCTCCAATTCTTCATAAAATAAGAAGCTGGCTAGGTTTCTACGATCGTGGACAACTGAGTTACAGGCTTTTTAACATTATGAATATAAATTCAGTCGCGTTAATACCGTTTTCGAACTGTATCGTATTTTCAATGCCACTGTGTGATACAACATCGTAAAAAGTTGGCCAGCATGAAGGGGCTATCTAATGATATGGTTGAAAGGCTTCTAAAAGAAATTTTAAGATCAGTAGGTTTTCTAGAAAACCGAGTTGTTCAAGAATCTCTACCTCAAGACCCCGTTGTGCAGCATAATTTTTCTCCGTCGAAATATATAGAACTCGATGCGCTCTTTCATTTGACACCAACTTCAAGGTTCTATGTTAGGAAACGTGATCAGCAGACGTTCTACAAGTTAGGCAAAATCCGCCGGAAAATGACGAAAATGTATTTTTCTGCTGGTAAAGTAAAATGGCTATAGATTCTTTTCTAACAAAGGCTGGAGACTTGCGATTTTCACGATTCGGTTCAGTTTGGTTAGCTCTATAATATGAGTTAGGTCTCGTCACTGACATGAACGGCCGATGTAGATGGTAAACGGTTTTATATGGACTTAGCCTATCCATCGATGCTGAGGCTAGTATTTCTGCTGTCATGGCACCAAGGCCCCATTTGTTCTCAGTAATATATATCATTTTGTAGACCGCGAAGTTTTGTATCGAATGATGTACAGTAATTGAGGTTTGCTTTGGGCAAAGAGGAGAACTGGGGAAAATACTCTAAATAAAGTTCATCTAAGGGGAGAAAAGTTTGAATGCGGAATTTTTTCCAGGGGGCTGAAAACGGTTTTTTTGAGGTGCTAGTTTTAATCACGGAGAAAAAATACATCAGACTTGTGAATATGAGCTTGATCTGAGAGGGGGCTGATTTTGCCTCTTATCGACCCCGTCCTTTTGCAAAGTTGCACCTTGTGAAGGTACTGAGGTAACTTCTTTAAGCCCCCTCCCCCCTCGGCAGAAACCTAACTCCGAAAGTATAAGTCAGATCTTGATCAGACTTTTAGGAGATGTTGACCGTGTGAATGCTGCAGCTAGAAAATTGTGTTAAGGTGAAAGTCGCTTTCCAGATATGGTAGCGTCAGTATCTGACGCAAGTTTTAGGACCTCCAGTAAAACTCTTATAATTCTTCATCAGAACATCTTTCAGAGCTGGGAGATATCTCATTTTGATCAGAAATGTTTGCTCTATTTTCTGATACTATTAAAAGTATTTTTTAATGTGCTTTTCTATCGGAAAGTAAAAGTTTTTTAGGCTTGGAAACATCGAATCGAGCAGTCTACCGAGTTGAGAACTCTGTGATCCTCTATCAAGGCTTAAGTAAATATAAATCGCACCCGCAAGTATCTTGAGAATTCTCTCAGTTTCTAATACTTTGGTGGTAAACTTCGCTAGCCTCCAAAGTTAGTCATCGGCTGAAGCGGTAGTGAAAAGATATTGACTTATTTCGAGTCCATTGATGATGGAAACGGAACAATTGCTGCGCTTTTCAAAAAAAATGACCGTCTTTGAGCTTTATAAACAGCAGAACTTCTTTGTCAGCATCTAAAGGTTGCATTACGTTTTCTGATTAATTCTAAATTGTCCTCAGGTAAGCGAGTTTCAGACCAAGAATATAGAGAAAGTTTCTATCGTAAAACAACTATACTAAGGAAGTTTTGAACATGCGATCGCTACAGCATGTTATGTAATGATTAGACATAAATATAATCATTGTCATGAACGTGTCTTGTATTCACTATTTTTTAACGCACGGCACACTTTGTCGAGCAGATTCTAAGCGTTCTTTTCTGGGCTCTCCCAGTATCAGTTAGTTCTCACTCTGAATTGTTTCCCAGTGCTCTGAAAACTGTACACAGAGGTTTGTTTTCTCAGTGTATGTCAGGTCATATTATTGAGTTATAAAGTTGGTCAGATTGAAATAAAAATGGGAAAAATAATAGTTGAGTTACATCCGACCATGACACAGTAATGCTGCAGTCCCACAATCAGTTGTGGATAAAACCATCAGGTACGTCACTTAATGCATCCGGAAACCGTGTTAAGCCACAATGAGCAAAATCTCAGATCCATCTCTTCAATCTAACGATATTTTTACCTACAGCCACATTGTTGAAATGTCAGTAGACTAAATCCAGTAATAAAATCCGATAATAGCGACGAATTCCTGTTAGAAGGCTATAAAATGTAGCCAAGACTTAGTAGTATTAATTGCTGTACTTTCATATGCACTTAAGGATAAAGTACTCACACAAAATCCATGATACGACTCTTCCAATAGTACGTTCTAGTGCACAGTGTATGTTTGAAAATTTCTATGTATATGTAAAGAAAAGAAAAGAAAACGGAGGAAACTTTAATAAAATCAAACTATCATACAAGTTGGAAAATTATAAAGCACCTATTACTTTGAACCTCGCTAAATCTTGTTTTGTGAAAAAATTCGCCGAAGGATCGGTTTGGGAAATGTTTGCTCAGCCCGCTAAACCATGTATCACGTTCATTTGTGTATCAAATCCGCGGTAGATTCAGCTGTAGTAAGTAACTGATCGTATTTCCACGGCAATGATGAAAACAGAACGACTCCAGCTAGTCAAAATATTCTAACACAGGAATTACATAAGAGTCTAACGCAGAAGTCACATAACTTTTGAAAGAACTGATATGGATCCTCCTTTAAGGATTTTTATCAGCTCACTTTCCTCTATTAACTGGCATAATATCATTAAAACCGGAGTAGGGCATCTGAAGATCTTGCCTCATGAGTGAATGCAGTTGTTCTGAAATAAGTATTTCAACCGAAAATTCCAGTAGAGTTAACTTTTCGACGAGTAATACAAAATTGAAATTATTATCTATATTATAAATTACGCCGAAAAATGTTCACCCCGAATCCGACCCGACCCCGGGTTGGGTTGGGTTACAGGTATCTACTCCTTTACTGATAGTAGACGGAAAACGCGAATAAATAGTAGCTATAGTAAAATACTTGAGAGCCTTTGGTTTTTGTAAAAGCGAGAAAAAATCGAGTCTTATTTCGTGTGTCTTATAGTGAACGCGTTACGTGATCCTGCCACGAATTTTTGAAGACACTCGCGTCGCGACATGCGATAAGAAAGTGGACTTGGGTATCGCTGACCAAAAGTAAAAGAAAGTCTATAAACAAGTTGAAGTCGATTCACTGTTGAACCACGCACACACACACAAGCGGATAACTCTCGATGAATTGTATCTGTCATGTACAGAGAAACGAAAATCTTCGGATAAAAGCATGCAGAGTGCAAAAAATCAATGGAAAAGTGAAAGAAAATGTTTTGAGAATCAAGATTATATACAACTTTATTATTTTTGATCTGAGAATGAATAAGATAGCGATAACACAATAATATTAGGATAAATTCAATCTTATTAGTCAAATGATATACATAAACACGAAAAATACAACTGAATAATTTTTCAGATTCTCATATGGACGATTTCTTTATCTCTTGAGCTGTAGATGATTTTTGATAGCAAAAACAAACACACACACACACAATTTGGATAAAATGACGGTATTTCTCTTTACTATTCTGAATCGAAAATACACAAAAGTATAATGATGTTGTTTCCTTTTTCTTCTATTATCAAATAACCAAAAATAGAAAAAGATAGAGACAAAACTGAAACTGAATGAGGGTAAAGAGCAAAATCATAACTATTCATAAGAAGATCAACGTGCGTAGTTGTTCGATTATATCAGTTACGACGCGAAGTATTATTATTTGTTTGATGTGGACGATTATGTGAACGATGAATAGTCCGACGTGCTGTGTTTTCAACTGTCACTGGTGGAAGACGGCATACAGGGCAAACATTGTTTTCCTAGAATAAAATTTAGAAGTCGTTTGGTGGATTAATATGTGAAAAGAAAAGAAACTTACAGATAACCAACGAGACGAACAGTCTTGGTGAAATTTATGAATACATGGATATATGTGTAACGTTTGACCATCTTCAAAATTATCATAACAAATACTACACGTATTTTCTTCACTAGATGCAGACTGTGAAGATGATGATTTATTAAATTTATCTGTTGAAATCTGATTTATTTGATTTTTGTTCAATTTTTGTTTATTTGCTCCTGTTATTTCATCCAATTGTAATAATGTCTAAAACACAGTACAATTAGATAATGAAGTACATAAGAGAAAGTCAAATTAACCTCATAATCTTCTGAGCTAAAATCACCCTGAAATTGTTGTAAATTTCTCACATTATTTCCATTTGGACGTCTAACTCGATTAGAACGATCATGTTGTATCATCCGTCTCATTAGAATATTTAAAGGCATTGCTCGAGCTTCTGCAAAATTGTCAGTATCACTGCCCTCATCGTTGTTATTGCTTGGATTAAAAAATGGAAGAAAATTATTTGATGCCGTTTCTTGTTGCTGCAATTGTTCAGCTAGAATAAAGTCATTGTCTTCATTCGTTCCTGTCAATGATTGATACAAAGCTGCTGCTAATGTTGGTGATGGATTACGATTATTTTCATCATTCGGCTGTGGTTGTTTACGATGATCGTTTTGTGTATCATCATAATAATCTTGTTCCCATTCTTGTTGTTGCATAGTTCGTGCAAGTTGTTCGTCTGGTGATGTTGGAATATCTTCATTACCGTCATAATTAAATAATTGATTATCACGAAAATCATTCGTATCGTCATTATTACTATTTGTTGCCTGACGATTTGCGGCTGAACGAATAGCACTGAACACTATTGGCTAAAACAAAAAAAAAAATGAAATGAATAGCAGTCGCTAAGGTCAACTTTCCCATCAGACATAAATAAAAATGGATTAATGTACAGTTTCTTATGAAACTTACGGCATATCTTTTGAATTCATCGGATGTGAGTAAACCGGTAAAAGCCCGGAGTGCTGAAAAAAGTCTATTATTTTCAGCCATGGAAAGTTTCTTTTTGTCAATGACAAATACTTTCGGTTTGTCTTTTTTCAAATGTTCTTTTTTTTTCTCTTCTTTTCCTCGACATGCTTCTACGCAAAACATGATATATATATATATATATATATACCCATACATGCGTAGTTATTTATTTTCGTAGAGTGACATAAAAAAAAGAAGTCATGAGAAGGAAAAATACTTTATAAGAATGAAGAAAGAAAAAAGAAAGAATGAGAGAAAAGAAAAAAGAATTTCTATTTGTCATTAATATGAGTCATTGCAGACATTTTTTATTCTTTTGCTACAGGCACAGTTGTAATGAAGAATAATGAATGTATTCACGGTGTTCTAATAGCTATGTAGATGTTTTAAAAAAAATGTTTTATTGCTTGTTCTTCTACTTCTAATAGAAGATTTGTGAGGATAAAAAGAATTATTTTACAACAATTTTTTTCCCACATGTATTTCGTTATTTTTATCTAAATATAAGTTTTAAGACTTGAGTAATAAACACATTCTTTGCTTACTTGTGTATCTTGTTCTGATCGATCACTTGTATATTCATCTGACTGTGTTCTTCTGAACAATGAGGTTGGTGGTATTTGAACAATACTCTTATTGTTATCGTTCATCACAAAAATATCATCTCTTTTATCATCCGAATGATTTAAATTTGAACGAGACATAGATTGAAGTGATGATTGTTGATCTTCTCTCTGCAAGAAACAAAAGAATATTTTTGACTTAAATGACGAACAATTAAGATTATATTACATCGGTTTTATCGCTAATAAAATTATTTTCGATAATAAAATTTCGAAGAATAGTTGGTAAATTTGAAAATGATTGTTGAATAGAAGATGAATTGGATGATGTGAAAATACTTCGATTATTCATTTATAAAGATAAATGAGTAATTATAGTAATGAAAAAATCACCATAAATGAACTTTTATCTGAAAAACAACAAGTTGGGCACGATTGTTTCAACATTATGAGCATAAAGAATAAATTATTAAATTTTAACAATTAGCCAAATAATGGACAAGTAATTTTTATTTTACGTAATAAAAAAGTATTTATCTTGAATACTGTTATTAAAAAATGTACACTACCAACTAATGCCTTGTGGTTTCCAGAAAAGACGAACAAAAACAAAAAGAAACGTTCGACAAAATCAGTATTAACATAAGAGAAATAAAGAGTTTAACAGAAAAAATTAATGATCCATTTATAAGTTCGGCGCTTAGTATTTAAAGCAGATTAGAATTTCAGGCAGAAGATAGTTACTTACCTTGTGTTTCATTGCAAAAAATTGTCGATTTTTCTAGTATATCTATTGAATATCTTTTGACTATATAAACATTCTATTATGCGCTTAAAAATGTTCTTTTTTTATTTTTAAATACGGCACATATGAATGATTGTTTAAGTCGACCTGAAGAATCCAAAATATTCTGTCCGCTGAAGTTAGTTGGTAATGATATTTTCACTATAATTCAATGCACAATCTTGTGGATTAACGTAAATATGAATTCTAGTATGATAACACTAGTAAGCTTACAAATATTTACCATCAAATTGTCCATTTTCTTGAACGAATCATCAGGTGTTTGGGATAAGAGTCAATGGATCCTAGCACCTTCGCTAATGCAGTATTTTGGGAAAATATAAGAAACTTTTGCATTATTCTATGAGCGTTATTTTTAGAGCCTTGTGGCTGATCGCGATACTTCTATTCCTACAGTTGTTCATAATAAATCTCAGTTAAGTCATTGATAACTTCCCTTTCTTTGAATTAAAACTTGATAAAGAAGTTTGTTTTGCTTAAAAATGCTCCTTTCAGTCAAATACAATGTAATAAAAAGCCAACTCGTTGAGATATAAATCAACTAGAGAGTAAAAATGAGAAAAGAAAACAAACACGCAGAAAGATAAAAAAGAAAAGTCTGCAGTTCCGTAATTTTCTTACGATATTAGCAGACGAATAAGAGTCAGTCAGACGGGGAAAAAACCCTGAATACTAATCTTCAGTGTGAATGAAGTCCGACAACATCCCTCTTCATATTCAGTATTCAAGAAATTTGTCAAAAATCTTTTCGCCATTCAAGCCCAAGAAGAATTGCAGATGTCCTCCGCGTGTACTGTAAGCGACTATTTTTCAATCATGAAAATACAGTCTATAGCCTTTGTGTACCACGTACTCTGTTAGAAGAAATGTACAACTTGATATGAATTAGATCGTTTGGCTGATCATCATAACTTTAGAGTTGCATATCTCACCCAGGTCCACTTTCTTGCTCCATTCACGTCGCGAACGTGGTCCTCGCTCCACGGTGGCGAAGATGTCGCTGTTGTCCCAGCGAAGTCTGATTTTTCGAAAATTTGTAATTCACGATAGTAAAGCGACAATAACGACTTCTTAGCGATCGCGGCACGGTTCCGCGATCCGAGCGCGATCACTGTAAGAAAAAATTGTCACGTCAAGAGCGCATTTAATTGCGACATAATACAGCATCGCGGCGCGTCTCCCGTGTAAATCCTATTCACCGTTTTGTTTTGCTTACGCGCCTGGTACATAACTCTTACTGAATTTTCGAAAACTTTTCAAAATCTGATCACAGCTTAATAATAGCTTACGGCATGAATAATATAGTCGGGCGGGGTTACGTGGCGCGTACGCCATTCGTCTGGCTAATTTCGCTGTTCGACAGAAACACTTTTCGACAGTGTCGAAGTTTTTTGAATCGAAGTTCGACACTGTCGGAAGCCTGTCGAATTTCCACTGAAAAATATCAAAACGACATAATAGAGTACTAACGTAAAAGCGTAAGGGAATGAGCAGGGGTGGGCATGAGAGTGAGTCACCAGATCACGTTCAATATCGAGCCACTAAGCCTCGGAGAGTACTGATGGTTTTTCCCTCGAGACATAGTGAAATGGCGACGCAAAGACGTAGGGATTGTCTACGCCTCTATGTATTTACGCTTTTGCTTCTCTAGTAGAGAAGTGCCGCGAAAAATTGTCGAATTTCTAGTCTATTGGAAATTTTTCGCACGAAATTCGACAGTGTCGAAAGCTTGTGTATGTCGAATTTCGAGTAAAAATTTTTGATACTGTCGAATTGCGAAAACTCCGACAGTGTCGAAACTGTCTGTCGAAAAGTAGAACCGTCGTATGAGCACGAAAAAATAGCTAAAAATCGCGTCGTATTTCGTGAGTCTTACAACGAACGCATTACGCGATCCTGCCGCGAATTTTTAAAGAGGCTCGCGTCGCGACAAGTGATAAGAAAGTGGACTTGGGCAACGGCTGCAAACAACATTAGAATGATAATCGGCTAAAAGTCTCATACAAAGCATGATATAAGCAGGAGGGGTTGTCGTGAAACAGGACTCTCATGGGATACTATGGGACGAGACGAAACTTTTAAAGTATCTGTGAGACAAGACAGAACAAGATAAACAAGCCGTAGGGCGGTACAGGATAGGATGAAAGTTTTCAAACTATGTATGGGACAGGACAAAAAGTTCACCCCCTGGAGAATCAGTCAATTGTATTGTTGAATTTCTTAGATTCGTTTATGAACTAAGCTGGAGTGGTTATGTGCCTCTCAGCCGGTCTATAATATTTTACGCGGTTGGTCACATAACCTGGTTCATAATCTGGTCTGATTCTCTTAGTGTGTGATATGTTCTGAGAAAAGATGAATAGTTCAAAATGGCAGATATCATTTGTTCTCTTTTTACTTTATTTTGTTAGTGAGTACCTTATCGTTTTTTACGGCGAAAGTCTAGTGATTTATAAATATAACATAATGTAATGCGGAATAGCAGCTTTTTACAGTTTCATACGTCAAAACTAGAAAAACAACTGCTGCCGAAACTCCGCCTAACAAGAAATCGTTTCGGAGAAAAAACATTTCAGTGGGACCCTTTGGGATCTCATCCCAGGTCCAAGAAAACGGCACCGTTAACGGCCCGTTAACTGGTCGTTAACGGTAAGTTAACGTGCCGTAAACGGACCGTTTTCAGAACCTAA